CCCTGCAGTCAGGGCTCTTCATGACTCTCGCTGAGGGTTGAGTCTGGCTCTGTCATGGTCTCCGTCAGTGCAGGAGGAGCCGTCCCTGCAGTCAGGGCTCTTCATGACTCTCGCTGAGGGTTGAGTCTGGCTCTGTCATGGTCTCCGTCAGTGCAGGAGAAGCCGTCCCTGCAGTCAGGGTTCTTCATGACACTCTCTGAGGGTTGAGTCTGGCTCTGCCATGGTCTCCGTCAGCGCAGGAGAAGCCGTCCCTGCAGTCAGGGTTCTTCATGACAGTCTCTGAGGGTTGAGTCTGGCTCTGTCACGGTCTCCGTCAGCGCAGGAGAAGCCGTCCCTGCAGTCAGGGCTCTTCATGACTCTCGCTGAGGGTTGAGTCTGGCTCTGTCACAGTCTCCGTCAGCGCAGGAGAAGCCGTCCCTGCAGTCAGGGCTCTTCATGACTCTCTCTGAGGGTTGAGTCTGGCTCTGTCACGGTCTCCGTCAGCGCAGGAGAAGCCGTCCCTGCAGTCAGGGCTCTTCATGACTCTCTCTGAGGGTTGAGTCTGGCTCTGTCACGGTCTCCGTCAGCGCAGGAGAAGCCATCCCTGCAGTCAGGGCTCTTCATGACTCTCGCTGAGGGTTGAGTCTGGCTCTGTCACGGTCTCCGTCAGCGCCGGAGAAGCCGTCCCTGCAGTCAGGGTTCTTCATGACTCTCTCTGAGGGTTGAGTCTGGCTCTGCCATGGTCTCCGTCAGCGCAGGAGAAGCCGTCCCTGCAGTCAGGGTTCTTCATGACACTCTCTGAGGGTTGAGTCTGGCTCTGTCACGGTCTCCGTCAGCGCAGGAGAAGCCGTCCCTGCAGTCAGGGCTCTTCATGACTCTCGCTGAGGGTTGAGTCTGGCTCTGTCACGGTCTCCGTCAGCGCAGGAGAAGCCATCCCTGCAGTCAGGGCTCTTCATGACTCTCGCTGAGGGTTGAGTCTGGCTCTGTCACGGTCTCCGTCAGCGCAGGAGAAGCTGTCCCTGCAGTCAGGGCTCTTCATGACTCTCGCTGAGGGTTGAGTCTGGCTCTGTCACGGTCTCCGTCAGCGCAGGAGAAGCCGTCCCTGCAGTCAGGGCTCTTCATGACTCTCGCTGAGGGTTGAGTCTGGCTCTGTCATGGTCTCCGTCAGTGCAGGAGAAGCCGTCCCTGCAGTCAGGGTTCTTCATGACACTCCATGAGAGTTGAGTCTGGCTCTGTCACGGTCTCCGTCAGCGCAGGAGAAGCCGTCCCTGCAGTCAGGGCTCTTCATGACTCTCGCTGAGGGTTGAGTCTGGCTCTGTCACGGTCTCCGTCAGCGCAGGAGAAGCCGTCCCTGCAGTCAGGGCTCTTCATGACTCTCTCTGAGGGTTGAGTCTGGCTCTGTCACGGTCTCCGTCAGCGCAGGAGAAGCCGTCCCTGCAGTCAGGGTTCTTCATGACACTCTCTGAGGGTTGAGTCTGGCTCTGTCACGGTCTCCGTCAGCGCAGGAGAAGCCGTCCCTGCAGTCAGGGCTCTTCATGACTTTCGCTGAGGGTTGAGTCTGGCTCTGTCACGGTCTCCGTCAGCGCAGGAGAAGCCATCCCTGCAGTCAGGGCTCTTCATGACTCTCGCTGAGGGTTGAGTCTGGCTCTGTCACGGTCTCCGTCAGCGCAGGAGAAGCCGTTCCTGCAGTCAGGGCTCTTCATGACTCTCTCTGAGGGTTGAGTCTGGCTCTGCCATGGTCTCCGTCAGCGCAGGAGAAGCCGTTCCTGCAGTCAGGGCTCTTCATGACTCTCTCTGAGGGTTGAGTCTGGCTCTGCCATGGTCTCCGTCAGCGCAGGAGAAGCCGTCCCTGCAGTCAGGGCTCTTCATGACTCTCGCTGAGGGTTGAGTCTGGCTCTGTCACGGTCTCCGTCAGCGCAGGAGAAGCCGTCCCTGCAGTCAGGGCTCTTCATGACTCTCTCTGAGGGTTGAGTCTGGCTCTGTCACGGTCTCCGTCAGCGCAGGAGAAGCCGTCCCTGCAGTCAGGGCTCTTCATGACTCTCGCTGAGGGTTGAGTCTGGCTCTGCCATGGTCTCCGTCAGTGCAGGAGAAGCCGTCCCTGCAGTCAGGGCTCTTCATGACTCTCTCTGAGGGTTGAGTCTGGCTCTGTCACGGTCTCCGTCAGCGCAGGAGAAGCCGTCCCTGCAGTCAGGGCTCTTCATGACTCTCGCTGAGGGTTGAGTCTGGCTCTGCCATGGTCTCCGTCAGTGCAGGAGAAGCCGTCCCTGCAGTCAGGGCTCTTCATGACTCTCGCTGAGGGTTGAGTCTGGCTCTGTCACGGTCTCCGTCAGTGCAGGAGAAGCCGTCCCTGCAGTCAGGGCTCTTCATGACTCTTGCTGAGGGTTGAGTCTGGCTCTGCCATGGTCTCCGTCAGTGCAGGAGAAGCCGTCCCTGCAGTCAGGGCTCTTCATGACTCTCTCTGAGGGTTGAGTCTGGCTCTGCCATGGTCTCCGTCAGCGCAGGAGAAGCCGTCCCTGCAGTCAGGGCTCTTCATGACTCTCGCTGAGGGTTGAGTCTGGCTCTGTCACGGTCTCCGCTAGCGCAGGAGAAGCCGTCCCTGCAGTCAGGGCTCTTCATGACTCTCTCTGAGGGTTGAGTCTGGCTCTGCCACGGTCTCCGTCAGCGCAGGAGAAGCCGTCCCTGCAGTCAGGGCTCTTCATGGCTCTCTCTGAGGGTTGAGTCTGGCTCTGTCACGGTCTCCGTCAGCGCAGGAGAAGCCGTCCCTGCAGTCAGGGCTCTTCATGACTCTCTCTGAGGGTTGAGTCTGGCTCTGCCACGGTCTCCGTCAGCGCAGGAGAAGCCGTCCCTGCAGTCAGGGCTCTTCATGGCTCTCTCTGAGGGTTGAGTCTGGCTCTGCCATGGTCTCCGTCAGCGCAGGAGAAGCCGTCCCTGCACTCAGGGCTCTTCATGACTCTCGCTGAGGGTTGAGTCTGGCTCTGTCACGGTCTCCGTCAGCGCAGGAGAAGCCGTCCCTGCAGTCAGGGCTCTTCATGACTCTCGCTGAGGGTTGAGTCTGGCTCTGTCACGGTCTCCGTCAGCGCAGGAGAAGCCGTCCTTGCAGTCAGGGCTCTTCATGACTCTCTCTGAGGGTTGAGTCTGGCTCTGCCATGGTCTCCGTCAGCGCAGGAGAAGCCGTCCCTGCAGTCAGGGCTCTTAATGACACTCTCTCTGACGTGTGTGTGATTACTGGCGAGAAGCTGACACTCCACTGCTCTGGATTATAGCGTTGTGTTACTGAGCTGACAGTAGATCAGCAGTCTACATCCAGTAATGTTGGCTCTGCCGCGCTGTAAAACAGATGGACCTGTTTTATAATTCATACATTTCAACATATTGAACATATACAGTGACTTAATTTTGTCACTGAAAATAAATGCAATGATCATTTAGATTTTGTGTGTGCCTCTCTTAAGATGAAGTGAAAACAGTACTACCTTCACATACTCGCCATAGCGCTCTGTACACAACACTTCAACTACATGTGCTTTTATATTCTGTGCTGTGTTGACCAATGATTGATTTTATGATTACATCATATGATACATTCATTATGTAGCCAGTCCTGCATCAATTACAGCAAAGAGAAAACTGGCATGCATCGTGTACAAATCTTATCCGCTGTATAAAGTTTTGACAATAAGCCTGATACAGGACAGGGTACAAACGGGGTAAAAGCCGCCTTTGATTCTTTTTTCCTCTAATCCACAAGATGCACACACACTTGCCGCAGCACTTTCCAGAACATCCGCTTTTCAAGATGCACGTGGAAATTTGTCTGATCCTTGACGCGAATTCAGACAGCAGCGCAAAGTACAATCTGCTAATTTGATCTAATATTTAATGTTTTTTAAAATGTTGTAGATTTATGTAGAAAATGAGAATCGATAAAATGATTGACTATATTTTTCAATAACAGAAGAATATGAAAGTATGGTATTTGGGGCGAAAGGCACAATAATTAACATGATAAGAAACAGACAGATGGTAAATATCATATATTAAGTTGGGTGTCCACCGTCCTTAGAGATAATCACCATATTTATAATGAAACCATCATATTTAAAACAATATCATATTAATCATATCATATAATAAAATGTCATGTTTATTGTTACTACTGTAAATCTATATTAAATTATTATGGGACCTCATTTCAGAATCTTTACTTTTTTTAAATAATTTTTTTAAATATATTTTTATATTAACATTTTAATGGCAGTTAAAAAATCATTATTAAAAACACACATGATTTTAACTGCAGTCCTGTGTGTCTTTGCCCCATGCTGGCTGTACCCGTGTGTCTGGCTGTACCCGTGTCTTTGCCCCATGCTGGCTGTACCCGTGTGTCTGGCTGTACCCGTGTGTCTGGCTGTACCCGTGTGTCTTTGCCCCATGCTGGCTGTACCCGTGTGTCTGGCTGTACCCGTGTGTCTTTGCCCCATTCTGGCTGTACCCCGTGTGTCTTTGCCCCATGCTGGCTGTACCCCGTGTGTCTTTGCCCCATGCTGGCTGTACCCCGTGTGTCTGTGGGGTAAAAGACCTCGCCACCTCATACATTTATACCATTTTTAAACAAACAAACAAACTTTTATGATTTTTTTCACACAAAATCTGTTGCTCCATCAATGTTCAATACAAAAAAATAATAATTCTGGGTGTGTCTTCAGCCCCGTTGTACTCTATAACTGACCCTATAACATATTCTTGCATACTAGTGATGGAAAAATAGATAATTACAAAGACATGAGTTCACAGATAATAAAGCACATAATTTTAAGTTCATTTTTCTTATTTGCTTGTGAAATGCAAATGACTCCTATGATTTTTTGCATGATGCAATTTATTTTGACCTGAGCATCTCCTTTTAGATAATTCTCTGAACAGAACAATCAAACCAGACACAATGCAAAGTGCATTTAAGTGCATATTTGATCACTTTTTAAATCATCTTTTTTTCCCTTTTCTTTTTTCCTTTTCTACAGGGTCAAACTCTTTAGAGGAAAAAAACTGAATGGAGATTATGACATTAAAGTTGAACAGGTGAGTTTATAAAAGTCAAAAGACAAATCAAATCAAAGTATTCTCCTTTATTCCTTGATTTCTCTTGTGTTTCAGGCTGAGTTTGGGGACATCAGTGTTGTGGCTCATGCTAACGGGTCATGCAACGTGGCTGTGCAGGTTTGGCAGAATGGAAACAAGACTGTCAGGTAAACTTGTGTTTATAAATCACCTCAAGCTGTTCATATTGTACTGCAATAACCGAGATAATGTGAAATAACTATTGAATATAATCTAAAAGCATCAGTTTCTATAATCTAATGTGCTATTGTGTGTACAATAACAGTCATCAAAGTTTCATAACCTTCAATCAGTATGAAAGCTAAATGAACCCGCTCAGAGAGAACTGGTTTGATGCGTCACACATGCAAGCTGTATCATTATCCTGGGATGTAATAAAGCACAATTATAATAAAAGGCCATTCGTAATGATTTGAGTGGCTTGTTGTCACCAAGACAATGCTTCTGTTTCCACAAATGGCCCATGAATTCACATAAGTCTTCAGACACATATCCAAAACACTGTCTAAAATGACTATAATGAGACATTAGTATAGATTATCATACATATTCAATGAAAACATGAGAATGAGCTGTGTTGGAGACGTGTGTGTGATGTGGCCTGTGACGGACCACTGCTCGAGCAGGGTCTGGTTGCGTCTCCAGAGGTGTGCTTGCCGCAGCTCAGATGTGCTGAACAGAAACCCCTGAACGCTGCCCGTGAGTCAGCATTTACCACCCAGTGAGAGAGCTATGGATATAAACAGAATAAAACATTTTAAAAGATAATTCTGACTTTATAACACACAATTGCGACTTTATATAATGCAATTCTGACTTTACACCTCGCAATCGTGAGAAAAAAGTTTTTAGTTTTTATTCTGTGGCAGAAACAAGCCTCTATAGAGAGCCGCTAATGAGATATAGGTTTCCCTTTATAAACGTCCGCCCAAGAGATGAAGAGCTGATTACTCTTCCGTAGTAACGTTATCGTCTGCACATATGCAAAGCATGCACTCCTCCTGCGACGAGGAAAAGGCGGCGGGAGAAACAGCAATAGCTCCACAGTTCAGGCTGTCCTGCTGTTTCACTGACTCTAAGCACAAAAGCTGGACTGGCTTTAAGCATAACTTTAATCCCCCCAATGCAAACTACATACAAGAAGAATGTACGAGGCACGTAATTCACTTCAGTTGCTTTGCCATAGAGCGAGCAAACAGTAACGCTGTCTTCAGAGATAGATGCTTTAAGACAATGCTCTCTAATGGGTCAATATGGGGCAGTGAGAGCACTTGTAGAACCACCAATAAACCTCAAGACGATGATTTACGTACGCTTCACAAACCACTGTTGTTCCCTGATCCAGCCTCGTGGCCCTGCTTTCATCCAATAGTTCCTGCAGGAAGCATAAAAACAGGCAATTTGCCACAATTTCCCCATCCAACCTGGCCTGTCTGTATCTCTGAAACGGTGTTTGTTTAAAAAAAATGCAATCATGGAACTGCACCATTCTACTCACTTCTCCTCATACTAATCAGGATAGCGGGAAACACGAGCAACGGGAGTTCAATCAGGCAGAAATCGATGTAATGAAAAGGTAACAACATTGTCTGTGAGAAAGAATATCTCTGATCTACCGAGTGATATTCGTTCTCGATGTTGCTCTATACGTGAGAGAATAACACCAGACGTGGATGCGACCAAGCCACTGTTGCAAATCCATTTGTTCTCCGTGTCAGAAGTAGCGCGAGCGCGTGGAGTACGTCAGAAAGGTCATCGGTTCGTCTTGTCGCACTGCGTCCAGTATAGACATCATCACTGATGATAATGAGTGGTTCTGTGTGTTTCTGTCGCAGTGCTGCTCCACACATTCAGTCTCTGAAGCGGGGGAGATCGACCACCTTGCCTGTTTATATAGGCTACGACTGAAACCCCTCTCACCGTTCTGCTGTTGAACACCACTCCCAGCCCATGAGAGATGCATTCATTACTACCTCTGTTAGAGGGACAGGACCTCATTAGGTCCCTTGTCTAGCAGAAGTGTGGGCTCTCCAGCTTCACACGCTCCTCTCAGATAATCTCTCTGCGGCTGAGCCAGTGTCCAGGACTCAAGCTCTGATCTCCACCCAGTGCTGAAATGCTCTCGTTCTCAACCGCCCCGGGGAAATGAGAGCCATCAACACCAATAACCTCAGACCGAGAGGGCCTGATCGCAGCGAGCTCTGAGAGCTGGAGCTGAATACCCTGGTGCCGCTCTCGCCCCCCTGTGGTGAACAGGTCTCGGATCTGTGAAGCCTGCCTGTTTTTCTCACCCAGGAGATCGGCAGGGTTGGTTTGCTGCATCTGTGGCGTAGGACTGTTACCTTAACTTGAGCCGTTTAGACTGTGACATGATGAGGTGTGTGAGGGCAATAACCGCAGTAATCTGGCTAGCTCTCGTTGTACTGTGACGTGAGGTTCACGCGAGCAGGCTGATGAGGTCTAGCTCCCGTTCCCCCATATCTGGGATATCCAGCTAGTTAACTCGACATCAGCTGCATAAACTCATCAACCAGCCATTCAGAAATGTCCTGTTGCTTCTACATGTTGTCCCTTCTTCTTGAGTCTCTCCATCTTTGTCTGACTCCGGTTTGAACATAAAAGGCAAAAAGTTTATGAAATGTAACATTGCGTGTCTGTGTGAGGTAATCAGAGCTGCTAACACACACACACACACACACACACACACAAGCTCTTGAAGCTCCGCCCCCTGTGCCGGGAGCAGCAGCTCATTTGCATTTAAAGGGACGCAAATTTTTTTTAGTTTTTGCTCACCCTCAAAAAGTGACAATTTTAACATGCTATAAAAAATATCTGTGGGGTATTTTGAGCTAAAACTTCTCATACACACTCTGGGCACGAGTGAGATGAAGTAGATGGAAGGATGGTGTGAGGATGCTCCTCATCTTCATCCTCATCAAGAAGCCAGGAGGACCCCTTCGTCCTCCACCCGTGTGTGGGTGTCTCCCCCAGTCCTCCATGATGTCTCCCCAGCCGCCTCCTCTCTGTGCTGAGGGGAGAACCTCGAGTCCTTGTTTCCTGACACCACATGTAGGGAAAATAGAACAAATACAATGTTGGATAGTTTTCTCTATGCAAATAACATTTATTTTTCTGTTTATGACACAAATCGAGTCGTATCTTTGGAGTTGTGATTGATGATCATTTAAGCTTCACAGAGCACATTGCTAGAACTGCCCGGTCCAGCAGATTTGCCTTATACAACATCAGGAGGATCAGGCCCTTTCTATCAGAGCTACAGCTGCTCCCGACGAGCTGGATGGCGCCTTGCATGGCTGACACCGCCGTCGGTGTATGAATGAGTGAGTGTGTAGACTTGGAATTAAAGCCTCTTTTGTTTCCCCGTTATTATTTGATTTACGGGACCGGACACCAGTTATCTTGCCAAGGAAGATTTTTATTCTTATATGTCAGGAGAGAAACTTCAAGATGTTGTATTCATGCCAGGTCAATGCGTTTCCGTGTTTCTCTGAGGTAGTACAGTAAGATTGAGTTTTTATACATCACAGAGAGTCTTACAGCTTCCTTGTAAGGTAACAAAACATGTTGCTCTGAGCTTCTTAAAATTAGAACGTATGTCATACGTATACGTTATGCTTAACATGTCACAATTCACTTCCATATTAAGAACTATCCTTGTTGTTTACATCTGTGATACACTCACATCAGCGGAACATGTTACATTGTACACACCCTCTAAGCAAAATATATCTTCCCCCTGTCTGACATATGATCATCCCATGGACCCATGCTATCTATAGCCCCTCATGCATTCAAACTCATGCTTTTGAAACTTCATAAGATGATACAACTGATTATGAATATTAATAAAGAATAATAATACAGATACATAATATTTAATAATGAAATAATATTAAAAGATGAAATTTTGAATCTTCATTTCCCTCCACTGGAACTACGGCCGTCAGTTCCACACCATCATTCCCAGGTGGCCAACCTATAGAAGTGATAGTGAGGAGAAGAAATAGCAGACCAAGAAAATAGAAAGAACAGAACAGAAGAATGGAAACAGAAAAGGAAAAGAAAAAACAAAACAAAGAAACAAAAACAAAACAAAGAACAAAACCCCAACCCATGATATGTTCCCGTATACTATGTGTATTTTAATATCTATGTGTATGTATTTAAAATGAACCCCAGTCATCTAAGAAAAGAAAACTAATAAGTCTTCTGTCCGTGCCTGAACTCATTAATTAATTAACTCGTTAATTAATTAAATCCTCCAGTTCCGAACCAAAACAAGAAATTAAAATAAACGTTGATGTTAAAGGATCCTATCCCTTGGGGTTGAAAATCAGTAAACGGATGTTCATTGTTTGTGAGGTAGTGTAGAATGTGTAAAATCTCTTATTTCACGCTGTATGTCCCATTCTTAGTTCTATCCATTTGGTTAGAAATAATCAATTTGACAGGTTTGGTACTTTTCCTTCTAGTAACACATATAAGGACTTGGATTATTAGCATGAACACAAAAACTCCTACCATAGTCAAAACTATCCAATCTGACCATGATAAATTCCCTAGGATTCGTGGTAGTTTCCTCTCAGACATTAATTTAGCTACTCCATTTGCTACAATAACATGACCCATTGCTTGAATTCCCTCCTCTTGAGCTGCTTTTACACTCTTTTTAACTCTTCTAACCATTTCAAAGAGTTCATAATTCCGTTCTTCTACTAGATCATTATTCCACCATTGTGGCTCTATCTGCAACAATTGCACATGTGGAACATGAATTCCACCCAAGTGAAGAGGATAGAGAATCTCAAGGCAAAATGGATCAGGAGGAATTGGACACAACTTTCCCCCGTATATCATATTTTCACTTATTCCATCATGTAATATACACCACTGTGCTTCTGACACCTGCCATGCACCTGTGGCTTGATCTAAAGGAACTACTTCCCAAACAGCAGAACCATTAAGAGATAGACTAAACATTGTAGAGCATGAGCAAATTACCCACTCATGTTCCTCAACACAACAGTCTGTAGTAGAAATCATTGGTGTATCGCCGTCAGCCCAATATCCATTCCTTCCTAATCTAATTACTGAATTTCCTTGTCTA